CTTCTTCTTCTTCTTCTTCTTCTTCTTCTTCTTCTTCTTCTTCTTCTCTGCAATAAAAATTCTAAACTAGTTGTGCTGTGTCTTGAAGGCTTCTGTCAACTCTAGCCAAGAACTGAGCTAAGGGTCTAGAAGTCTGTGGTTTCCTGCCAAGCCTGAGTGTTAAGTCTGACAAATGCAGTGCCTCATTCTGTTCAGTAGTAGGGCTGGCAGTGATGAGATTATTAAGCCAACATTAATAACAGTAGAACAAATGGATCTCCTAATAATGAAATTATTATATGTCTAAATTTTCATCCTTTGTATTTATTTGGATTTCTTTTTCCAGTGCCGTTCTTTGCCCCACACTTTCTGGTATTTAAAAATCTGCTTGTAAAGTAGCCATATTAATGCAGAAGGGAAGCAGCATGGCTTATTTATTTTTTCCCCTCTTGATTTGTGCCTTTCTCTTGATTTGTGGGTCATTCGAGTAATACATAGGAGCTGCCTACACACATTTTCCTGTTTCAGTTCATAATACCCAAGCAGTGAGTGCAGCTTATCAGTATGGGATAGGGCATCCTGTTCAATGAAAGCGAATTATAATTGAAAGTCCTGGGATTCTCCAGGGGGAAAAGCAGAGCTGTTTTAAGTGTCTGACCCACAAGGTCCCCTATCTTCAATCACTCCAGAGAATGCCAGGGGTCATGTGGAAAAGAGTATCTGGGGCATTACTTAGAAATCATGCTCCTTCTTTATACTGTCTATATTCTTTGCTTGCAGATCAAATGTGTAGCTTAAGCATGAAAGCTCAAAGATGAGATCTATTCTCTACGATAAGTTCTGGGACATCCTTCATAGCTCTTCACATACACACACGCACCATGCATACACGCATAGAGATATGCAGACCTAACCTTTCTAGTCTGCTCTCTTCTATTTGCACTCCTGAAGAGTCAGCTTCTCCAGAATCCCAAGGGGCCTTCCCCCCTCCCTTGATTATGATTTTATTTTAAAAAAATTAAAAAGAGGAGGAAGGTTTTCTTGGTTAATAGCTGGGTATCACATCCTAGAAGAAGAGGATAAATAATTATTCTCTGGATGCTAAATATTTGAGTCTTAAGAATGAATAATAATGAGTGACTCACTTTCTTGTACCTGAATATTAATCTCCCCAATATGACTGATGCATCTTCTACTGCCTTCTGCATTCCCGCCTTGCTTTAGATTTCATCACCACAGTGTCTTCTAGAAGAGTTGAAATTACAACTCCCAGGATTTCAGCCATGCTGGCTATAAATCCTGGGAACTGTATTCCCAAAACTCTTTGAGAATACCACACTGAGGAAGACTCCCCTAGTGGGAATCACATAGGAAACGGATAAGTCTTATTTGATTGCCCTGGTTACTGATCTACCCAGTTCTTTTGACTCAGAGCTGCCTCCTCCCTTGCCCAAATGCCTGACCTGCTGTGATCCCTGAAGGGGGTTTTTTTTGTCTTTAAAGTAGTGAAAGATTTCTTCTAGAAAGAAGTGTGCCAAGGAGTTGAAACAAACTCCCTCTGCATTCAGTATGTGTATCGTCTTACATTTAATTGGTGTTCTTGTGTGCTTAAAAGATAAGCTATTGAAAGGCCTGGCTCTGAAACTGGAATGCTATTAAGCTCTTTCTAATCCTTCATTATTTCTGCTATTCATTGATGGCACAATATGCCATTAGTGCAGAATCTAAAATTTAACCACATCAGCAAAGAATCCTATGCACTTTTATGATCTTTACTTCCTTCAAGAATTTGTCTATTTTCAAATATAAATCCCAGTAATGAGTACTGTAACTTTAAGAGCTGTCCAGCACTTACACTGCTGAATATAGCCTGAAAACATTACAATAAGACACTATTATGTCTTGATGTTTTCAGACTATATTCAGCACTGCAAAGTGCCTGGCAGCTCTTAGAAAAGTTACCATACTTGTTATTAGAATTTTTATAACAGGCACATTCTTGAAGGAAATAAAATTATTAGAAAGTTTCCTGAGACAAAATTTTAGAATTGTGAGATTTATGACAACTTTAAGAAAGATTACACCACCTGGCAGAGAATAAAAATGCCCCCTAAGTTTTAAAGAAAGAAACAACTTTAACATTTTTTACATCATCAGTTATCAAGATATAACTTGTGAAAATATATAGTCCATTTTTAGCCATCAAAAATTTGTGAATCTGCTGTGAAAAGGACAGTGTGAATTGGGCAGTAGTAACACTGGTGCAAAGTGCCAAAGCAATATAATTTCTTACCTGGCTAGATAATTCTTTCTTTCTCTACTACTTACAGAATGATTCAAGGCAACACTATATGAAGCTGTTGCTTAAACTATTCTCGAATGATTACTAAGCATATTGGTTCAGGATGATTAAAATTTTGTGTGGGTTCTAGAAGGTCAGGAGTAAACATTTTGAAGATTGAGACATGTGAATTTCCATTAAGGATGAATTAATAGTTTCTAAATTATAGTGAAGTTTGGAATAATTCCTTGACAATTTCTTTTAGAGAATAATAGCTAAAGCAGAAAGGAAATCAAACATCTTAACTAATGTGCTTTCAGTGCTGGCTCATTTTGCAAAGCAACTACTTTAATATTACGTTAATGATATTTCCTCCAGTTGGGTTCATTTGCATGTGCTTTAGTATTGATACCTATACTTTGGCCATAGTTTGAATTGGTGTTCTGCAGATGTGTTAGATTTCAACTTTCTTCTTCCCTGGCCATAACGGACAAAGGCAATACTAATTGAAATTATTAGAGCTGTATTCCAACTTATCTGAAAAGTGCCAATTAAGGGAAGTTGATTAAACTGGCCCTGGGAGATAATATAAAGCACTGAATAGATTGCAAGGAAGTGTTTTTTTCTGAAGAGAGAAACATGTTCATAAGCAATAGTGAATGAGAAAATGCTTGGCTAATGTTAGGAAGCATATAAGCTAGAAATAGCCATTCTGTTACAAATACAGTTCTTCTGTATACCAAGCATGGTAACTATGATTTGGATCAGGGGTGTCAAATTCATGGCCTCACAGTGTTGTCACATGATGTATCGGGACTTCTTTCCCTTTTGCTAAACTGGGCAGGGGTGGGGCCAGCACATGATGCATCCGGCCCGCGGGCCATGAGTTTGACATCCCTGGTTTGGAGTATTTCCTTGGGCAATCAAATATTCTTAGCCTGTAGACTTGCCTGCTGAGTCAGCATGGCTACTGACTCATTGTAAGCAAAAAGACACCTTGTTTGAATGAGACTTTGTCTGAGAAACCCATTCTCCTTTGTCTTTGGTGTATTTATTTATATGGTCTGATTCTGCAGCTCTAATTATCTAGGTTACTTCTGATAGCTGCTTTGGCAATTCCAACAGAGCTCAAAGATTAGAGGTTATATATAATTGCTTGAAAAACAAACAGTTAATATTATTATTTAAAAAAAATAGTTGAGAATCGGTGGGAAAAAAGCAGCTAGGGAGGGTTTTTTCAGTTTTCAACTGAAAATTCATCTATTCAGCTCCTAAATAATCCTTTCTATTTTTTCCTCCTCCACCCCCCAGGAATCTTTTGGATAAAGATACATTCTCCAAGTCTGACCCATGTACGTAAGTGTTGCATGAACTTTCACTTTTCTTCAAGATGAGTTTTGATTATACTATTTGGGCTTTGTTCATGAAATTTCTTGTCCCCAATTTATGGATCTGTCAAGTTCTATATTGCAAATATATACAAATTACAATCTTAAGGCAAAGTAAAAGCCAAATTAAATATTTTAAGAATCATTAATTTAAATCTGGGAAGCATAATACATAATTGTAATTACTGGGATTTGCTAATCACAGAATTTAAATAATTCCTGGTGTAAAATAAACAATATTTACCAATTTAAAATGTCTTATTGGCTTTAAAATTTCATTCTTACATCTTTATAATCCGAATGACCTCATGCTCTCACATATTTATACAGCATAATCATGTTGGTCAAGAAATTCATGTTAATAAACACAGAGAAATGTATTAAGTATGTGGATGATTTCTGTTTTCACTAAGGTGACTTGCTTTGAATGTATAAAATGAGCAGAGACAGAGTGAGTTTCTCCTTTGTATTAAACAGAAAAAGCTCTGAAAGGTAGATATTCATTCCTACATAGCAATTATTAAACCCAGCATAGATTATACTGTATATATAACATTCTGGTATGTACTTCTAATGCATCTGAAAACCTGATTAATAATTTATTATCTCTGACCCTCCTTTCTTCGGCTTCAACAATTACATTGCCTACATTTCTGATATGTGCTGTCCAGTGTATTTTATTTTATTTTAGTTCTCTATAATCTTTTCTCCCAGTAGAATGGAGATAATGGTGCATTGATTGCAAATATATTTTATCTGATTCTCCTAGACTGATTCTTATATATGCAAAACATCACCATCTATATGTATGACGAGGGAAATAACTGGTTTTGGAGAAGCCCAACCCAAACTACCTTGGGGGCCAGAATAAACAGGAAGACAACAAATAATATTAGGTGTATGAGAAAAGTTGGCAGAAATGCCAAAATAAGTTAGATTTTTAAAATTATATCTCCTAATAGTGGGAAGGGAGCAGAGGTGGTATTCAGCAGGTTCTGACCAGTTCTGGAGAATCGGTAGTGGAAATTTTGAGTAGTTCAGAGAACTGGAAAATACCACCTCTGACTGGCCCCGCCCCCATCTATTCTCTGCCTCCCGAGTCCAGCTGATTGGCTGGGTCTTCTTTTGTTGCCCTGCACAGGAGAACAGAGCTGGAAAGCAGGTTAGAGGGAATGGAGTTTGCAGTAACCTTCCCCCAGGAGTGGGGAGGGAATGGAGATTTTACAGTATCCTTTCCCTGCCATGCCTACCAAGCCACACCCACCAAGATCTGCCATGCCCACCAAGCCACACCCACAGAACCAGTAGTAAAAAAATTTGAATCCCACCACTGGAAGGGAGACAACCCACTAAAGCAAATCTGGGGAACAATGGCCCTTTCATGACTTGTGGACTTCAGCACCCAGAATTCCTGAGTCAGCCATGCTGGTTCAGAAATTCTAGGAGTTAAAAGTCCATAAGTCATAAAGGGGCCAGAGTTCCCCACCTCTGCAGTAAAGATTAGCCAAACTTTGTGGTCTTAGAATGTAATTAGCATAGTAGGATATTGTGGAGTGGCTTGGAAAAGATGTGGAAGATATCGTGACAGCCTAGATTTCTGAACAGTAACATTTTGCACTGTAGCACATTATTGCGGATTCACCTTGTGAAGTTCTAGTTCCTTTGATTAGCACTGAGGTTACAACTAATGTGTATAGATCCTGCGGCAGATAAAAGACATGATCAGCAGAACCCAGGAAACAAAAAGCTTAGTGGGACATCATTTGCTCTCTGGCAGCTTCTCTTCATTAAAATCTCATTAATCATTTTTACATGTTTTGCTATGCTTTAATAATGGGGAGCAATTGAAAGTGAGCCAAGTACATTAGTGAAATACATTGTTGGGTAATTTAAAAGTCTTGCTTGGTTTTCTGTGCTAAATCATGAAGGAGCTATAGTTCTTTGATTCTGCATTTAGCATAGTGCCTAGTAGCGTAGATTTTTCAGAGGTAGCCACAAGGAGATCAGAAGATGAAAAATGGCATCACTGTGTCCCAATTCAAGTTGTGTGTTTTTTTTAAAATGTCATATACAGTCTTGTAGTGTTTCTTTTTTTATCCTGCCTTTATTATTTGTTTAAATAACTCGAGGCACAAACATACCTAATATTCTTTGTCCTCCTATTTTCCCCCCACAACAGCCACCCTATGAAGGGAATTGGGCTAAGAGAGGATGAGTGGCCCAAAGTCACCCTGTTGTTTTTAATTGGGACTAGAACTCACATTTTTCTTGTTTCTAGGCTCATGGCTTAACCACTAGACCACACTGGGTCTCTTGTCTCTTTTGTCATTTTGATGAAAGCATGAGATTTGACCTGGATTTATAGAAGGAAGTATCCACCTCTGAGTGGAAGAAAACAGGATAGTTTATGAGAACCTCTCCTGTGTTTCTTTAGAGTGCAGTTGCTTCATTGCTACTTATACAGAAGGGAAAGCAAGGAAAATGTGTGTGTTGTAGGGAGGGTCCAACCCAGGAAGGACAGCAGAGGTTTCTCTTTATGGATTTGGACAGTAAAATAAGGCCAGAACCCAAAGGTTATTGGTTTAATTATTCCTTTTATTTATGTTCTATTTTTATTCTAGGAACTCAATGTGATAAACATGAGTCTTTCCCCCCTACTTTGTATTATCTACACAAAAAAATAGGTTAAGCTGAGAAGTCTTCAGAAAAATATATAGCTGAGAGAAAACAGTGAATCCCAAATCATTTACTGAAGGTTTTTTTTTTTTGAGGAATTGGGGATTGAATTTTCCATGTTTGTTTATTTATTAAAGTGCTATGCTACCCATCTTGCCAAGTCTAGTTTGATTCAAGAGGGTAAATCCAGTGAATCTAATGAATTTGGATGGAATTAAGCTACAGTGTTTTGTGTTCTTTCTGACAAGAATTCTAGAGACACTAATTTTAGTATAAAACTAGGCTTGGCATGCTGTAGTTCCCAGTTGAATGTGATATAACTTCTGATTCCAAAACAGCCTCTCTTTTTCCTCATGTAAGCTAAGGCAAATAACTCTTGTGCTATTCCATTATGTGGGAGAACAATAGCAATCAGTCATACTTATGAAATTGATGTTATGTAGATTATTGGAGCTGAGATGCAAAAGTAACAGAAACGGATCCACTCTTTTGAGCTGATGGGGCAGAATGGTTGGGATGTTGAGTTGAAATACTTGCTTAGCCATTTTCTGTCAGTCAGTTTATCCCATAAGATTATTGTGAAGATCAAACACAAATACAAAAAAAAAAAAAAAAAACACCACGATGATGGATGCTTAAGATGTCACACAGTTCAAAATGTGCTTCTTAAATGTGATTTGCACCTAAGGCCTGATCAAATCAAAAGTTCTAGCATTTGTTGCAATTAGTTTCCTTTTCAGTTTTTCATTATAACCTAGACCTCAAATCCTCCCCATTCTTACCTTTTTGAGTTTGCAGGAAAATGTTTTTCATTAATAGCAAAGTGGAAAAAGTTTAGATGCTATCTTTGTGTACATAGCAATAAACAACATTTTAAAAGAAAAAGGAGAAGATAAAGAAATAATGAACCATAGCTTTACAATTTTCAGGAATCCAGTCCCACCCCCACTTCACCCACCTTCTCAGTGGGGGAGATCAAGCTTCAGTAGTTTCATTTAGCTTTTGATCTTGCAGAAGCTTGTGAAGTCTGCCTAATACAATCTGTGCTGTGTGGCACTAGAGCTAAATTCTTTTCTCTGTGCCAGTGGCTTAGTTAACTTGTGGTTGTTGTTTTTTTTTCCTTTACAGTGTGTGTGCTGTATACTCAGGGCATAGAGACCAAGCAGTGGAGAGAGGTATGTAACTTGTGTGTTAATGGAAAAATTCGTGTCTCAGAAAAGTGGTGACTCTCCAGCAGATCGTATCTCCTGGATTTCATTCTGCTTTACTGCCTCTTACAATTATTACAAGTCACCTTCTTGCCTTGTGCCTTGGAAATTGTGTGTGTGTGTGTGTGTGTGAGTGTGAGTGTGTGTGCTTCTTTATCATCTGAAAAGCAGACTAGGTTAAAGGCATTTGATGAAAATTCTGTTGGTTAAAAATGGCTGAGATGTCTTGTGTATTTGTTGTGGCACCACTGAAGGGTGTGAAAGCTTCACTTAGAAAGCTTCACTCACACTCAATATGTGTCCATTGGATTGCTTTTACATTCCCTTGTGCTAGTATAGCACATAATGGCAGTGTTTCTCAATCTTGGCTGCTTGAAAAGTTCTGGGAGTTGAAGTCCAGATGTCTTCAAGTGGCCAAAGTTGAGAAACACTGAAACATGACATTGGTGTAGCTGGCATAAAGCTGCATAGGCTGATGGAAAGGTTCCAATTCATCCAGTTGATGTGAATATGGCTGGAATTGAAAATACGATGCAGAAGGACAGAAGTTAAGGCCAAAGTGATACATGAGAACAGTAACTCTGGATGTTGAAACCCAGCACATAGGAGCCACATGAGAAGACGAATTAAGGGGCTGAATTTAAGACATTGGGGTGGGGGGAGGAAGCAAAATTCAGTCAACTTTTGTAGGTTGTTCTGCAGACTCTCAACTTTACTTCCTGCTAGGTCATTTCTGGAATTGAAATGCCAGAAGAGAAAAGGGAACCTGGAATGAGAAACAGAAGAGATAGAAGCTGTAGATGGGTGGGCAGGTTTCCGTTCCTATCCTCTCCCTGAAACACAAACTTGTTGCTTTTAAAAATAAGACCTCCTACTCCTCTCTTCCTACTCTTATATATTTTCACACACAACTGCTGCTGTGTGGGTGCTGGGGGGAATCCTATGCCTTATTTCTTCAGTTCCGTGATGTAACATTATGAGTGGGAAAGATGTGAAGGAGAAAGGTATTTGCCCTTAAATGCAAATTGTACTTGAAGGGTCCCTTCTCTTTACAAACCTCCTGATTTTCCTCACAGGTTTTGCTGTCTCTCCCCCCCCCCCCCCCCCCCAAAAAAAATCATGAAGAAGAAACCTGTAGATGTTTTAATTTTGGATCTGTAAATTGTTCTTGGCACTTATCAAAGGTATCATCACAAGAGACGGACCCTTACACATGAACTGTTGCACAGTTTAGCAGTTTGCAGACCCTGGAGGATTGTGGAACTTGTGGAAGACAATTTTCCTTATGAGAGGATATCTGGCCCCTGAGGTCTTTCCTCTCCTGAGCAGCTGAGCTGCCCAAGTGACTCAGTGCCCTTGCAAGAGGTTTTAGGGCAGTTGGAGCAAGATGGTTAGCAGGGATATACCTGCCATGTTGCATTGGGGGAAGAGTAGTTTTCCACTACTTTTCCTTTTATCTAAGGACCTTAACTTGCTTTAGTGAACCATTGTGGTTATTTTATTGTTTTGTATTTTGTTATGAAATTGATATCCTGAACTGATCTAACTTGCAAGCTCTATGGGCAAGATGGGGTAAAAAACAATAGAATAAATAAACAAAATACTGCTTCCCCATTCAAAGTAGAAGAAGAAAAGTGACATCGCTCCACATTGAATGCCTTAAAAGCTGGGCTCATGTAGACTTATTTGATTAGTAAATTAATCTATTTTTAGATTCACACAATACTCTTTTCCTGATGAGTATGTTTTATTCAACACAAGTTTATGAATCATGCGTTCTTGGAAGCATGCAGTTCTATGTAATGGCTGTTATAAGCAGTGGATTTCCTACCACTGCTTATACAATGGAAAGGGAAAGGCCTCAATAATTTTGCTGATTGCCAATGTAGTTACTTTTTGTTAGAACAGCAAGAAGGGAATTTGTGTGATGTTGCCACAATATGAAAAAGAGCAGATGGTTTCTCCCACCCCACCATCCCATTCTAATAATGTTGAAGTATATCTCTGTTTCGCTCAGTTACATGACTGTTGCACTCCCCTGAGTGTTTTCCATAAAGACTTCAAGTAAGAAGAGAATCTCTCTGTTCTATGAAATTAACTATTTGGAAACAGCACCACTGAGGTTTTGTTATTTCTTTCTCAGGAGCAATTCCATTCTTTCTGCAGAAGAAAAGGGCCCCATGATTTTTCTATAAGCACTTAAGGCTGGCTTAGCAACTACATCCCAGTTGGCAAAGCAACAGATCAGGTCAGGCTTTGTAATGTTGTTATTTTGGATCCCAGAATTCTCAGCCAGTAAAGGCAATGCATCTGGAGTCCCTCATTTTGGGAAAAGCCTGCTTCTCTGATCTGTCATTTACCCAGTTCAAAAGAATGTGCCATTCCTTTAGAACTTTTAAGGGCAAGGTTCACTCATATGTTCCTTTTTCATCTGGACAATAAGCAATATGGAGGCTACGTGCCCCGTTTTATCTTGGGATTCTGTCATTTTACTAAGCTAATCTTCAAAAGTGGAACAGATTCCTGACTGTTGGATGGGCCTTATGGTGAATGTTTCAGATCAATTGCTATGGCTTTTCCAGGCTTGAAGTATTGTAAATGTTTTTGACTATAGCTGCCACCATCCTTAGTCATTATTGGCTACGAGTGGTTGGAACTAATACAACACATACGAAGTGCATCTGTGCACAAGAAGGCTTCTTTGGAGAATTTGGAGCCAATAGTTGTAATCAAAGAATGAGCATGTGTGTATTTCCTTATCATTATCAAATTCCCAAGTCCCAAAAGAAACTTTCTGGCTGTTGGCAGTATGTTAGTCATCCAGCATTTTTCCCCAGCTGACAATTGTCTCTCAAAATTGGTGTCACAATCTGTGTAATCACTGCACCGTATCACTGGCTACTGTTTTACTGAGATCTAAAGTAGTAACGGAGAGCAAAAGTACAAGGTGTTTAACCAAGAAGTCCCTGATTCAGATCTCACAGCAAATGTGAACTTGGTTGAGTTCAGCGAGGCTTCTCCTCCCTTCTTTTGTAATAGAAATATAAGGGGATTGAGCTAAAATACAAAGATACAAAATCTCTGTAGCTGAAATCAGGTATCTCCTCAACACTGCTGATTGAGCAGCTGAGCTGATGAACTGTTGGATCAAGATCAGTTTGCTGCATTTTCTCTGGAATATTAAGGTGGGCGATTTCCCAATGGAAACTGTTATGTATGAGGCATGGGTTTATAAACGGAGACGAAACTGCTTCTCGTGAATTCAGCTCTTTATTCACAACATGTTAACAGAGACAAAAGAACCCCGGCTATCAGTCACTCTTTTATAGCGTGAGCTGCTATGCAGATAACCAATGGATATTGTTATAGCGTTTGAATCTTGGCGCGGCCCGCCAACAGCCAGTCTGATTGCTCGGAATGAACCAATCGTAACTTGCCATTATATGGGCCAATAGGACGTGCAGGATTACGATCCTGCTAGGCAAATGAATCTTTATTAATTATATTTCTTTAGTTCACAACACCCCTCCCCCTTGGGTTCCGTTTGACGGCCGTGGTGACGTAATCACGCAGGTATGCAGGTCGTTTTACCTGCCTATTTGATTTCTGCTGTTCCACCGGTTTTTGTTTAAAGTTCGGTTCCGGTGGAACGCAAGGCTCGTCTTCGCCCGGGGTTGATTCCGCGGTGCTGTTTTCGGCACTATCAGGGTCCCTTAAGTCCATTCCTGGATCGGGCGGGCACGCCTCTACTACGGTGTTCCTCCATGGGGAGGATGCCCCCGATCCCGGACCTTCTTCAGGTGGCGCGAGTACTTGGTTTAGCGGCCGTCTGTCCTCGATTACGTCGTCATCTATACGGCCTTCGTCCCCCTCGGTATTCCCTCCCCCTTGAGTTTGGAAGTCAGAGGGGTCGCAGATATTTGGTTGTAAGCGAGATCGGAGTTGATCAATGTGGCGTTTCCATATCTTGCCATCTGTCGTCTTAAGGCGGTAAGATCTAGGGCCAGTGAGGTAGACTACGGTGGCTGGGACCCACAACGGTTTGCCGGAAAGGTTTTTTGCGTAGACCAAGTCGCCTACCTTGAATTGGCGATACGTTCTGCTGGATCCACAAGGTTTCTCTGGCGAGTAAGACGGGTGTAGTTGGTCGAGGTGGGAGCGAAGCTTCCGCCCCATTAAAAGTTCGGCTGGGGTCTTATTGGTGACACTATGGGGGGTAATGTGTTGTAGTAAGAGTATTTTGTTCAATCTAGCGTCGATGTCCCCCTGATCCATTTTTTGGATCATTTTTAAGGAATTGAACCATTTGTTCTGCCCTACCGTTTGCCGCAGGGTGAGCCGGCGAAGTTAATGCATGGCGGATGCCCTGGTCCGCCAAGTATTGTTCGAAGGTGAGAGCAGTAAACTGGGGTCCGTTGTCGGAAACTAGAACGTCCGGGAAACTGTGTGTTGCAAATAATCTATCTAGTTTTTTTAATAACAGAGTCAGTAGTTGTGCTTTTCATCTTGTGGATTTCGAGCCAGTTGGAGTAAGCATCCACGGTTAGGAGAAAAGTGTGTCCTTTCGTGGGTCCCACGAAATCAATGTGGATGCGGGACCACGGGCCTCGAGGAGTTTCCCATTCGGTGGGAATTGCTCTCGGTGGGGCGTTGCTGACTTCTTGGCAGTTTTTACACGTGGTAACCCAGGCTTCAATTTGTTTATCGATGCCTGGCCACCACGCGTAGCTTCGAGCGAGGGCCTTCATGCAGACGATGCCCGGATGTCCTTCGTGCAGGGTTTGCAACACGAGTCACTGTAGCCTCTCTGGCACGACGACTCTATCTCCCCATAGGATGCAGCCCTTCTGGGAGAATAGTTCCGTTTGCCGGTTCTTAAATGGCGCAAAAATGGCGGGGGTTTCTTCGACTGGCCACCCGCGTTCGACCCAACTGAGAACTTTTGCGAGGATAGAGTCTCGTTTTGT